AATTCAGATGGGATAGACTCAAAGTTATATTTTGGTTCTCGTGGATTCAGTTTAATTTTCCTCAGCTTCAGCTTGAAATTGCATATGAGTAGTTGGTGGTCTGTTCCACAATCAGCTCTGGGCCTAGTTTTCACAGCTGATATTGAGCTTCTCCAGCGGTTCCTTCCACAGATGTAATCGATCTGATTCCTATGCATACCCTCAGGTGAGATTCATATGTATAACATGCGTTTATGTCTCTTAAAAATGTGTTTGTGATGAATAAGTCATTGATTGTGCAAAATTCAATCATTCTATCCCCAGCTCCATTTCTGTCTCCGAGTCCATGTTTTCCGACTACTGATTCTTCTTCTCTGTTCCCAACTCTTGCATTCCAGTCACCCATTATTATCAATGCATCTTGATTGCAGGTTCACTCGATCTCTGACTGTAAAAGTTGGTAAAAGTTGTAAAAGTTTCCTCTTCTTTGGCTCTGGTTGTTGGTGCATATATCTAAATGATAGTGGTATTCACTGGATTTCCTTGTACGCGTATGGATATTATTCTGTCACTCACAATATTGTACTTCAAGACGGATCTAGAAATGGCTTTTCTAACTATGAAAGCAACCCCATTTTTCCTCGCCTTTTCATCTCTGGACTGGTATATCATATGATAATCTGATTCAAAATGCCCCATGCCGGTACATCTCATCTCACCAATGCCTAGTATGTCAATATTTATGCATTCCATTTCCTCCTTAACAATAACTAATTTTTCCACATTCATGGTTCTCACATTCCATGTTCCAATCACTAGTGTCTGCTTACAACTGTTCCTCTTCCTTTCTATTTCCATACTCAGTTGTCTTCTCTGTCATTCTATGTGTGCTCTGTTGTACATTGAGTTTTCAGAGGCCTGCTATTTTGGAAGAGGATGGCCAATCCTTCTTCCTAGTGTATGTCAATCTGAATGTTCAGATCTAGAGAAGTATCCAACAGATAAGCATTTTACAGAAAAAGTGAAAATATATCCCTTATTGTGTAATTAACCATTAGTTACAGTGTTGTCCCTGTCCTTGGCTCAAGTGCCCTGACCCACTTATTTCTTTGCTCCACCATCCATCAAGATACCCCTCCACTTCTACCCACTCCCTTCTTCTCCTATCTCCCATTGTCTAGCCCTTGGTCTGATAGCTTATATCTAAAGCTTCCTTGGTTTCTGTGATTCCAGATTCATCAGCTGCTAACAGTTTCTTATGCTGTGACCAGAGTCTCCTAAGTGTAGTAGTAATGTTGCTAATAGGAATTATTTATTAGAGAGGAACATGATGCTTGGAATGGTGGAAGGTCTGTTGAGGAGAGGAAGACCCTCAACTAGGTGGATTGACACTGTGACTGTCACAAAGTGTGTCAGGAAGTATGAAGTTAGCACAGGATAGGACGGGATTCAGACTCAGTGTTCATAGGATCACTACGAGTCATATTTGACAGCACCAAAGAACAACATTCTTTATTATTTCCTTTTTTCCTTTTTTTATTATTGTTAAATTTTATTAGTTTCAATGAACATTCACAGGGATTCTGGGCTTTCACTCCTTCATTGCCGCACCATTCTCTCCACCCTCCTC